CTAACTTTGCTGGTATAAAAGAAAGATGCAGCCTTTTTATACATCAGGAAGGTACATCCACACATCAAGGACAGCTCACATTTGAACATCATCCTGCATTTTCTCATCTTTCTGATTTATTCTCACTGAACAAGGGAGGTAATATATTTTTAATTTTCTTTACTGTTAAAGAAGAACAATTACATTTTTTTGACATTGTCTTCTTCTCTCCAAAAGTTTTCTTCTCCTTCCATTCTGTCAAAGTTTTTACTTTGAAAACTGGAGTGAAATGTTGCTTAGGCACTAAGAAATCAGTACTTAGTGTTGAACTGGCTTTGTAATTAACAGTAAACAAGGTTGTAGGATTGCATTACAGCTAAATGGTGATATTTCGTGATTTCTGGTCGGGTCTGGTAATGCTTCATTAGTAATCTTGTATTTTTATCCTGGTCCACAGTATTGCTGCCAGATGTCAAATGTTACACAATTCATGGTGCTAACGTGTTTTAGAGTCTTTAAGTTGCTGGTTAAATATGTTAAGGAAGAAAAAAGAAAGAAAAGATATTAGTAAAGATTTCTCAGTCTTCAGTGGTTTGCTAACAGCTTACAATGTACAAGACAGCCAGAAGTGAAGCATTGGCACTTCACTGTTGCTGTGACATAGCCGTACATCACTGCTAAGCACTCTGGAAAGATGTAAACACAGTGTGCAGAGTGTTTGGCTCTTATTGGGCACAGCATCACCACAGTCACCATACAGAGCAGCATAGAGAGACATCCCACGTTTTTGCTGAAGACATTAAGTTATTTCCTATGGTCAGTACAAAGATGGCCCATCTAACAAAGCTCTCTGGCATGTCTGTGCAAAGACAAAGACCGCAGAATTTGAGTAGGAATTCTGGTTTCATGGTGTAGAGCATAAATATAAAGACATCCACAGAGTCCCACACGCATGTGTGAAGAAGACCTGTTTGCAATCGCTGATGACAAGCTATCCTTGTTATGGTAACTGGTAATAGGATAACTTGTTTACAGAACAAGACAAGGTATTGTAAATAGTAAGGTGAGTCTTTCACTGCTTGGGAAGGTTTAAAATTGTCGTCTTTCCAAAGATCTGCTAAAATTCACACTTTACATAATCACAATAACCAAATCATAATGTTCCAATAGCTTAAGAAAGATAATGATTAGCAGAGCAAAGTAAAAGCTTAATTTAACTTGGTTGTGAGGTGGTGTAGATATTAACTGGGTTAGCAGCATGGGCACAGTCAGAAAAGCAAATGCAGAGCAGAATAAAAACATCGGGCGAAATTGCTGTCATACTGCTGGAGTAGAGACACTCATGTCTGGGCTTTATTGACAGGTCTTTGTTTTTAGTACGAGCCTGACTGTCTGACTCAATAGAGGAAGTGCAAAACTGCAATTTCAATTCCCTTTTTTGGTTAGTTTAATTTAAACAACTTCCCTCTGGGATTGCCTCAGACCCTTTTAATTTACCAAATCATTTTTAGAGAAATTATGACAAAGAAAGCCACAACGTGTTCAGCAAAGAGCATGGAGTCACACAGTAGTCAGTCAATGGCTGTGGTGTCGTTAGAGAGCCACTGGATCATCCAGACTTACCAAAAGGCTCTGGGTGATGTAGAAACGAGGTGTTTTGAAAAGTCTGTCTTTCGTCTTCTCCTGCTGGTAAATGAGCCCTTCCAGCTGGCTCCTTGCACTGGGCAATGTGTTGTCCAGCTCTGAGCCCCCAGATGGAGCAGGGCCTGAAGCTAAACTGTGCTTGTGTGTTCCAGTACAGGCGAGTCTGCCAGCAGTCACACCTCAGCTGTAGTACTGAAAAGAGCACATACAGTAAATAACCTTCCAAGAAAATTCCTATTTGCTGAAGGGAGAGCTCTGATCAATTTACTCATCACAACTTCATAAATGCAACTGAGCTCAGTTCACTTCCTAAAATGTCTGGCGCAATCATGTGAATGTTGATTGACATAAATGGTGTGAAGGTCCATCCTGATGTTGTGGACACAGGTGACTTTTGTCCAGGGAGCAGAGCACGGAGGTCTCAGAGCTGCCTTTCAGAAATGTGAGAGCGCTGTTTAAAGCTCCTGTGAGGCTACTGTGTTATTCACCCTTCATTGTCCTGCATGTTCTCAGTTGGCCACATTGAATTAATTCAGTGGACATGGCCAGATCAAGCTGGCTTGGATCTGCCCTGAAAATCTAAAAGGAGGAAGGGGAGCACAAAGCTTATCATATCACAAAACCTGGATAGTACTGAGTGAGCACTGAGATGTGTTAAAGTAAAAGCCCATGGCTGAACTTATGAGAAGGCTGAAGCAGTGATGCATGCCTCACATTTAGTGGGCATTACCCCAGGTTGCTGTGGCTATCCTTTGCTATACAATGCTGCATCATGCAGGCTCTCTTTTTAACACACATCTCCAAGTTTCCCATAGTAGCTAATCTCAGAAGACCACTTCTTTTACTTGGATGGGTTTTTGGTAAAAGCCATAGCAGAGAGAAATAACCACCAGTAGCATTCAGCCTACATGCATACACACATTTACTAGTCTAGTTTTTATACTTCTTCCAAATGCTTCCTTCCAGTGCTTTCACAGTTTCTTCCAGTGGGTTTAATTCAAATTTCACCCTGGCTTATCCAGGGCACTGGATAACTCCCTTATCCTCTGTTTCTTGCCAGCATGGACCAACTTGCTGGGCAGGTGGGACTGAGGAGGTGAAGTCACCTACGCCTAGCACCCAGCCTTTGCCTCCCATTATTGCAGTCTCCTCTCCATCCTCGCTCTTTGCTGGGCTTCAGATCAATTTCTTATCTCTAGTATTTGCTATTTTACTTTAAAAAGTTTTGTTGCCTCTATTGTGCCTTTATAGCTCTCTGACTTGCTCAGAAACTTTGTTCCCTTCCACTTTGCTAATTCTGATGAGGCAAGGACTGTGTTCTCATCATCTCGTCTTTGGTCTCAGCATCATCATCCTGGACATGAGATTTTCCTATTTGCTATGGGCATGGGCTTCTCTGGCTTTGTTTCCTTCCTTGTCCTGAGTTCAAAGCTCTATTATATGATCAGAGCACCATAGCAATCTGACTGCTTCCTTCATCACAGTCTGTTTGATCAATGAACCAAGACCTGCTGGATGTACCTCTGGGAATTTGTATGGCAATGGAGTGTCCCTCTGTTAATCCATACAGTCTTCGTACACATGCCAGTGCTCCAAGCTCACTCAGATGATTGTATCATGCAAGTAGGTTCACACCTTGAACCACCTTTCCAGATGCAAGCAGGAATTATTTGTACATTTCATCATTGCGGCAGTGTCTGCAGGGATTCTGCTGGGGAGATGCAAATTCTGAAAAGAAATAGCTTGCCAGTATATGAAAGCTGATTTCATTTAATTATGCTTTGCTCTCTTGATTTTCTACTATATTTTCTTCTTAGGGATGTCAGTGCCCTTTCCAATAGCATGGCATGCTTAAATAGCCTCTACGTCAAATCTCAAGATTAATGTCTTTGTTGCTGGTATTATTGTTGCTTTCACCATCACTGCATGTTTAGAAATACTTAGTTCCATAGTGGGATTCCTCCCTGGAGAATATTTATCATGAAGTAGCAACAATGACTGGAGTGTTTGGAAGAAAAGCTCTTAACGTTTTTACCTTGCAAAGCAAGTGACTTTCAGAATCTAGAATGTATCAAGTGTTGTCAGCCTGAGGCCTGTCAGCCACCATGCTCTTTGGGGACAACTTCTGTCTTTAAAGCCAAGGGGTCAGGCAGCCTGCACGGGGCACAGAAACTGCTTACAAGCTCCTGCTGTGAGAGCCTGTCCTGAGGTGCTGCCAGAACACTGGATGCTGCAGGGCCTGCTGTTCAGACACAGCCCAAACGCACCCCGTTTGGCTGCTGGCATGGCCTGGGGCTGTGACTGCAGGAGCAGGGAGACCTGCGTGATCAGATAAGCTTTCTCATAAGGCAGTTGGTGGCTGGGATCTGTGGGCTCTGTGTGCTGGGAGCGGCTTGGGACTGCTGTCCCTGGGGGCAGGTAGCAGCAAGTACAGCACTGCTGCACAGCTTCAGCAAAACTGCGGGGTGGGCATGGACAGTGCAGAACCTGAAGCTGTGCCACGTAGCATATGCTTTCTTGCACAAAATCCCCGTAAAGATTTTTAAAAGTTTGAATGAAGCAAGGTGTGTTTATACCAAACCAGCTTTCTGTATTCATCTGTTGATCGGAACCCAAAAGCCAATCCACAGTGCCAGTAAAACAAAGCCTGATGGAAATCTCAGTCTGGAAGATGGTGGTGACTCTGAACTTGCTGTGACTCTCCTGATGAAGCCCCTGTACCACAGAGGTAGCCCTGAAGGATGCTCCAGGGCTGTTTAAGCTCTCCTGAGCTCTCTTTTGCACCATGTCTCTTTAGGCTTCTGCCTGTAAGGAACGTGTCCCTCCTGGGACCAAGACTGGGTGAGGGCAGCCCTCCTTAATGGAAGAAATGTTTTCTTCCAACTAGGAACAGGACTATGAAAATCTGTTTGCGGGGACTTGGGCACTAAAGTGGTCAGTGTGAGGACAAATAATCTGACTCTTGGCTCAGGAAATTGTCCAAATGTGAAATTATTTTCTCTGAAATTAGTCTTACTGTGTCCTGGATTCTACAGATTCTGTTGTCTCCTCCATAGATGTTTGCTGTCTTTTCTGCACTCTACCATAAATATTAGACAGTTACGGTATTTGAAGTTTATATGCTATGGTTTGTGTTAATATTCAGAAAATATTGTTAAGGCCAGAAGGAGAGGTACATTTTTGTTATGAAAGTGGTGATGAAGTCAATTTTCTGAGGCTATAAAATGCACATCAGTGTACTACATTTTCAGTTTCTGCTCTTGGCTTTAAATTGTCCCTGTTACTCGTCCTGAATGCTGTATTAGTATGTAGCCTAGATGCTGGTACTGTACCCATTCTGAAACAGTCCTCTAAAATGTGCTTATTTGTATTTCCAGAAAGATCATGGATTGCTACAGGAAGTATGCAGCTGTCACTTTGACCATTTTGTCTGTATTTCTGCATCTTCTTCATACTTTCCCAGATGGAGAATTTCTCATGCAGGGTAAGCTACTCAGTATTCAGAAATAGGGCAGTTGTAAAGAGCAGTAATTAAACTTGTTTTATAAATGTGGTCATAAATATTATTATTCTATTACATTTATTGATGCTGGGATGTGAAGGTATAATTATTTGAGATAATTTTGCTTCCTATTTCTTCTTTAAGCTTGATTTCTCCGGGTCATGAGTCTCCCAGATGACAGTTTCCTCCTCTTGATGTGGTGACCTTAATCCTTGAAACATTATCAAACAGAAATGTTTCATTTTGTTGTACTTCGAAGTACACAACACCAGGAATAGCAAAACAATAATTTCTCATCTTAATGCATAGAATATATTTCTTCTGAAAGACCTCTTGTGCTGCAGCCAGGGTGAGGATGAGTTTACTGGAACAAAGCCACAGTGTGTAGTAGTGTGGCCATAGAGATCTCCATCAGCATAGCTTCCAACTCACACTTCTTCTCATAGGGTCATATATACACTCCTCACTAACAAGGCAGGTCCCATGGATCAACACTGAGAAAGCAGTGCCTTTACCAACATCCACTCAGCAACAGTGTTAACACAACACAGTTTGATTGTGTTTGTCCTCTCTGGCCGATCAGGGTTGGGGTTTGTAGTGTTCCCTCATGTGGAGATAGCGTGAGTCCTTCCAGTAGCTGGCCTTAGAACCTCTCTCTGAGCTCCTCCCCATCTCCTAGCAGGCCTGAAGATCGTGGTGTCCTACAGTTGCACCCCAGCTTACCTCCTGCCAGGGCCAGCACACTAAGCCTTCTCCTGTGCTGCTCTTGGGGACGGAGTTGAATGCTACATTTTGGTGATCAGGTTAGGTGGGCTTCTTTGCCTGCTACAGTTCCTCCCCATTGCCAGGTCTCCGTATGGGTAAAAACCCATTTTCACACTTAAAAAGATTTGATTTTTAATAGTGTTGAACATTTGCCTTCTGCCAATTGATTTTCTTTAATAAGTTTTGAACAGAATAGAGAAAAATGCATGCTACGTAAATCTTGAAGTCACCAGGCATTTTTTAAAATTCACAGATAACTGAGTGTTACTTCCAAATGGGCACTGTCTAGGAAGCACTAGGAAATACTGCTATTACTAATTATCCATAGCTAATAGATTTTACAGGTAGAGCTACTGTAGTAAGCCTACCGAAAAAATGCTACCAACAAAACTAATTTAGAAAGAACAGAAAAGAAATGCTTGTGCCTTACCTGGAAAGATGCACTCTAGGTTTACAAGAAGTGGATGTTGTGAAGATGAAGGACCCTGAAGAGGAGAGCTTTTGTTTCTGTGCTTTTCAGTTCTGCATGCATCAAAAAGCAGAATATAGCGAGTACTTCCTCTTACTGCCTGTGCTTTCCCTTTCTCTTTGAAGATGAATGGCCATCAAGTAAAAGTCTTTTCTGTATGTTTTTATGGCAGGTTGTCCAGAGTGCAAGCTAGGGGAGAACAGATTCTTTTCAAAACCAGGAGCCCCCATTTACCAGTGCACTGGATGCTGTTTCTCCCGGGCCTATCCCACTCCAATGAGATCCAAGAAGACCATGCTTGTTCCAAAAAACATTACATCAGAAGCAACGTGCTGCGTAGCAAAGGCTTTCACCAAGGTGAGAATGTAAATGAGACCATTTAAAATTATTTTAGAAAGCAATGTGTAAGCGAAGCAGTGAATAGAAAATAATATGTTTTTGCTGGAGGGCACTGAGCAGCTATTTGAGGGAAACATCTTTGGTACTTATATAATTTACACTTGTGCTCGTTTGTCGTTTTTTTAAAGAAATTAAAATGTTAACCAGTCCTGACTCTGATATTCAGTTGGGTATGGAAACTGATGCAGTGCCACTGACTTCAGTGAAAGTGCTGTGACTCATGATGCATGAACTGGATTTCTTGACCATTCATTTTTAACTCTGCTGGATGCGTACCCTCTCCTTAAATGTCACAAAGCGTGGATTTGATTTTAATTAGTCGCTTTCCTTGCTTCTTTCCTGCATAAGCAGGAATCCTCTGAGAATGTGCCTAGTCAATACTATCAATTACATATATGGGAATGAGGGACCAAAACCATCTGCACTCATTAGATTAATTGAGATGGTGTTTACTTTTAATAGTATAACCGGGAGGGAACTGTAAACACGTGCAGCTACTTTGAGCATTTTTTTAACAGTCCCATCTGGAAGGTTCTCCTAAAGAGAGATTCTGCTAAAGCTATTTTGGGAGCAATTCAGCTCCAGGTGAAGAAATCTTAAATTGATGTAATCAGTGGTGAGCTAGCTGATGCAAAGCCAAGGTAGCTGTCATATGGTGATCTGAATCATGTTCACTGAATGTGCTGATGAGGGGCTCAGTTCAATTACTGGCTCACAGGTTTGGTGCCATCTGAGATACCCTGGGGTACTCAAGACATCTGTGTATAGCTGGCAGACACAGGACCCATAAAAGACCTTCTGGAGTGGCAGCTGGGGGCTTGGTGGGATCCCATCTGATGTCTGAAAGGGCAATCAGCCTTTCTGTGTACGCAGCTGGACAGAGCCCTGGGTCTCTGCTGACTGCAGTGTGAGCCCAAATACATGACTTACCTATAGATACCTATATCTGAATATGTCTTAGCTCTTCTTCTCAGTAGAGCATAGATGTTTTTCTAGACCACCAATATTATGCTTGCCCTGAGGCAGGAAATAAAATTTGGCTGAGATTAAAAATAGCTCATAGTGTTCATGCTTTCTGTTTTTATAATCTCCATGTGAAGTATATTAAGGACACTTCCTGATTTGTCATAGATTGGTTGAGTAACACTTTTTTGAGAAATAGACACTTTAAAATGTGCCAAGTTAAGGACACCAGGCATGTTGCTGTTCAAAACCATCTCATTATATTCTCCAAAAGCCACTGATGATGCAGCTTCACAGACTGGCATTCAGAGGCCATTCTAGTTCAAGTACTCTTTGGAGCCTGTGTACTGCTTGGGGTTAAGAAAAAGGCTTCAGAAATCTTTTGCTTGAGATTGCAGTTTTAACTGTGTAGCTAATCCTAATTATCTTCTTTCTCATGTGTGTGTTTTCTTTTTTTAAGATTACCCTTAAGGACAATGTGAAGATAGAAAACCACACAGACTGTCACTGCAGTACCTGCTACTATCATAAATCTTAAAGCCTGTCCCTTTGTTAATGATCAAGGACAACGGTGAATGGAATATTTGTTTTTCAGCTTTTATAGCAACGCTGTGTATAATCTTGTGTTTTCTGGTCAAGACACCAAGTAGACTTTTGAATGAGATGGATGGCTGTTTTATTTCCTCTCTGCTTCTTCATGCATTTAAGTAAGTTTAACTATTTCCATTAGGGATTAGATGCAGCACTTGCATGACAACCATAAGCTTGATCTGTTTTTAAAATAAACTGTCAGATAAATTGTCAATGTTTCTTGAGGAAAAATGATGATTTCATAGCTTAAAACAACAACAAAAAAGAGATTTTGTAGTTTGTTTTCAAGTTTGTTTGTTTTTATTTATTTTTCTGGGAGAGGGAGGAAGGAGGAAGAGAGGGGTGGGAGAGTGGGCAGAAAAAGAAACAGTAATTTCCCCTCATTCATTTAGTGGATTTTTTTTTTTTAAACACAACATTTTGTTTTTCTTGCTTCTTTCTTGTTTGCTTTTTTTTTTTCTTTAACTTGTGGCATAAAGCTTAACAGCAGTCTGTGCAACGTGCTCTGCCTTTCTGTGTCATCTTTGATTTTGCTTGGAATTTTATCTTCTTCCATATTGATAAATGGATGCAGAAGGAGATGTTGTAAAGTGCTATGCAGTGTAGCAGTGCTAGAGGAAAGGCATAGCACATCTGTATTAGCTATTTAACGTGTGGCTGAGCAGCATGGCATAGGGCTTTAGAAATTCTCAAATGCAATGTGCTAGACTGAGATATACAAATTGGAAAGGAAGAGACTTTGTTAGGTCAGAAATGGACCACAGAATATGTATTTAGAATAGATGACCTTCAAGTTGTAAATGTGGATTTTAGAGATAGCACTTGTTTGGTTGCTGTAGGTTGGAGCAGGGCATCTGGAGGGACTGCTCATGAATCTGAAGCCTGCTTATATGAACATGAAATAAATTAATTCCACTTGTCTTAACCCAAATATCTGGAATGAGAACGTCAGTCCTGCTGTGATCACTGAACACAAAGGCTGTCTCCAAAGGCCTTAAATATATTTGTGGGGTACTTTCCTGCAGCAGATTCTGTGAGGACAGTGGTAGAGATGTACCAAATGCTTCTGATGGAGAAAGGGGAGGGTGCCTTTTGGTGACACTGAGAGCACGGCTGCTCCACCCTGGGGCATGGTGATAGCTGATGTCTGCTGCACTCCTGAATGACAGACCTGCAGGGCTAAGCTGTGATGGGGCCCTGGAGCAGCCCATGACTGGCAGGGTCTAATAATGGCTTAAATCCACTGTACACCCACTCCTGTCTACTGGAGTGAAAATTCACTGCTGTTTTCTAAGAATACCATAGGGTTTTGTGGCAAAGACTGCTCATGGACAGGGAAGAAAGCAAAATTATTCAGCACATGTTCAGTAAATTCTGAAAGCCTGATCCCCGCCTGATTCTACCTCTGGTTCAGTCTCATCTCTGGAGACACCAGTCTAGCTCAGTCCTGTGTTGCATTGCAGACTCAGCTGTGCTGTGCCATTCCTAAGAGATGTTTCACCTAATTTACTCCTGGAGAAACTTCCAGTGGTTATTCCAGAATCTGTTGAGGCTGGCTCTGCTACTTCTGCTGTTACTAAGCTGGAAAAAAAATCACTCTCCTGGAAAGTTTTTTGTGATATTTTGTCTTTATGTTTGTTTCAGTGTTACTTTTGTTCAAAGGGGAGGTAGTCCAGTAGGGTGGTATTTAGTATGAGTTTAATAACATCAGCAGGAAAGGTTTTCATATTGAGAAGTCTAATTTCTCATTCTGGATCATCACTCAGTACGTTATGGGAATATATGTCAAGCAGCCACTAAAGCTGACTCACAATTCCAACATGTTGTGCAGTTTTATTAAACATGATTGATGCAGATACTTTCACAGGGGATCTGGATCCTGCCTGGGATTTCTAGGCAATGAGAGAGGAGTGATCTGAAGCTGCAAGCTGATTGCCTTTGAGAATGGCATTGCAATTTCTCATAACTTTGACAGGACTGAAATGGAGAGCAGGGGAACGAACACATTCTCCGAGGCTGCCTTGCAGTGGAGATGTGCCTTTTTGCCCTATGAAACGTTTCCTTGGGTGGACACTGACTCAAGTGAGATCCTCCAGCAGCACCTTCTACCTGCTGGTCTATTTGTTCTCATGCTGTGCACAAGAGCAGGTTGGTGACATGATAAACTTCTGTTGGCATCTTTTAAACAGCTGCCATCTTTTTCATTGTGAAATCATAGAAATATTGAAAAATAGTAACAAATTAGAAACCCATGCTTTGAAGAAGACATGGGATGCTGTAGCCCTGTATCATTCATTCTAGAGTACCTACTCTGTTTTTCATTCTCCATGGCTCATTCCCTCTTGCTTGTACAAAACCAGTTACTCCTCAGTTTCTCAACCCCTGGGTCCCCCTCCCCTCTGAAGTGATCTTTGCATTAAGGGCTAGCGAAGTGCTTACTGTGAGAGCATGTGGAATGTGTGAGCACTCCTTCATTACCTTATCTGGTTAAAGCCCTTCAGTCCGAAAGAAACACCGCTTAACAAGGAAAGTAATAAATTAAACACTGAGATACACAAACCTAGCAGCAGGTGATAAGGGAGAAAATGACAAAGAGCAGACCCCTTCAGCCCATGACCAATTGGCTGTGACTGACGGGCCCTGGGGTGGTGAAGGGATGGTGGCAGCACTGAGGGTGTTAGTGTTGGCAGCCTGAGCTTTGTGACTGCTGAGAAATGGGGAATGAGCATAGGGAGATACCTGAAGGAGGCTTGTGGGGTTGTGTAAAGCTTACTGCAGGTTATCAGGAGGAGCCTACTTAGAGAAAGGGCCAGAGGTGGAAAAAAAGGGTAGCAGTGGTCAGGGGGATGGGGTGAACTAGGGAGGAGCAAGCATGGCAAAACAGAGAAGTGGGTATTGAAGGACCAGCCTGATGTAAGCAAGCTGCCAGTCAATATGCTTTATCTGACCGAGCCCTCTGCTTGATCACTGCACTATACCATCTTCTTATTAAATTCTTTACTTAACTATTTTTTTTTTCTGTGTAATCTTACTCACTGTCCTGTGTGCAAGTGCTGCAATGCCTAAATGCTAGCAGCTGGAAAAGGGATACATATGAGTCCCATATGCCAAAGAGTGGTAGGAGCTGGGGGGACAAGGCTGTATGTTTATGTGAATATTTAGTCTGGGTCCTGAGATCCAGAGTCACCGGGAATCCCAGCTCAGCAAGGAGACATTCTGGCCCTGTAGCTTGCAGGATTCAGCAGCCAGCTCTGAGCATAAACTATCAGAATACATTTTTTTGATACTGTTTCAAATCAGGACAGCACTGAATTGTTTATCTGTGCATGTGAGTGTGAAAAGCAAATCCATAGCTAGGAAAGTTATGGTGCTCACTGAGTGAGTTTGTGCGTGGTCAGGGCTAGGAAAAACATTGCTATGTGTCATGAGAAAGCTAATGCAGTTGAGAATGAGTGGTTGAGAAGTTGCTTGGGATATGAATAGGAATAGAAGCTGGAAGGCAACGTAGATGCATACCCATAAGGGCTAAATGCCAAATTTCCAGTAGAAATGGGAAACAGAAAGAAAAGTACGATACAGCTTCCTTGCGTCAGAAAATGGCTGGGACAGAGGGTAGATCAGTTCTATATATTTAAGAGGAGCATTGAGAGAACAGATTACAAAATCAGGAGGGACTGATCTCTTGTTTATGCCAATAGCCAGTATGCAGCTTCTGTGTTTCAGCATGAGGATGGAGATAAAATGAAGTCCTTGTCAGTGTGGTTTGTAAGTAGCAATAAATCAGTCAGGCAGATTAAAAATGCTGAAGATCATGTGGGCTGAAGATATAAATGATACGTTTTTACTGTCACAGTGACCTACATAAACCTACATCACCGTGGCCCTAATAACAAATTCATTCTGTGCACAGAGGAGTTCTTTGACAAAGCTCTGTTTGCTGAGGGCTTGTGCCCAGCCTCACTGAAGAGCAGTTCGCTGTGTCCTCAGCAGATCCCTCTCTTTCTAGAGATCTGAAGTATTTACCTATCAATCAAAAAATGCCTAAAACTGAACTAGGGGTTAAAGTGCTGCTGAGGAGCAGATGTGTGGATGGTCAGTGTGGGTGCCTCCCCACTGGAAGATGTAATGATTCAGAGGTATTGCAATTTCCATTCCCTGTCTGACAAGATCAGGAGGGGTGAGCTCTCAGTTGGAAGATAAAGCCTGTGAGCTGTAGGGATTTTAATGAAATGAAATTTCTGACAAGGCCTCCTACTCTTTCCAAGTCTGAGAAGCTGCAAATTAGCAGGAGCCTTCCTTCCCTCATCCTTCACCCTGTCTAAACAATGATTTTAAACAGCGGACAGGGGGAAAGGGAAGCTTATCCCAGAATCTTTGCTGGCCAAGTGCAGACTGCATGGCTCCCTTTTGCAGTGGGGTGAAAGAAGGCTGCTCTGATGAGTCTGGAAGACAACTGAATACATTAATGTATAGAAGAAGCCTCCATAATGGGGAGAAGGCCATTTGGCTATGTTAGAGAGCATTGCCATGAAGAAAGAGATATGAAAATAGCTTTAGGAAATATGTAAACACATCTTGTGATAGAATAAAACCAAAAATTGTTAGTGTCTGGAGGATTCCCCCTTTAAGGGGTTTCCCTATTGCTCTGCAGTTTCCTGTGTTTCTGGTGTATGCTAACTAAACCCAGCAACTTGCTACAGTCACAGACACAACCACTGCTTATGCATCATACATACTCTGTATACATATATGTGCACAGTCACTGTCCTGCCACACCATTGGACACACTGAGGTATGATAGAAACCAATGTTCTTTTAGTTCAGGGAAACAGCAAAAAAGCAGCTTTCTGGGGGGTGGGAGGTGATAGGGCCTCAGCTCAGTGTGATTTCTTGGGAATTTATTTGATAATTTGTTCTTCAAAATCATCTGTCTCTCTCCACAGTGTG